GGTGAGGCCTTTGTGGGAGGACAGTGGGAGCCCCGGAAAGCTTGCTGCAGCGAGAAGGGACGGGCAGCCTGAGATTGCAGAGGGCTCTCCCAGCGGCCTTGTGAGCATCTAGGGAGGGTGGAGGCTGGCCCTGTGTGAGGGGGAGATGAGGCCTGGGCCGGTGGTGGTGGCTGTGGGTGGAAAGGGGTGGGCGGGAGCAAGGAGAAGCTAGGCTGGGCTTTGGGCGGAACCTCAGCCCGCTCCTGCCTGCCCCCCACCAGATGATGCTCCCTGTGTTCCTTGGCGAACGGGTGCCCCCCGAGACATTGGCATCTACTCTGGCCGAGCTGGACAGGTGCCTGCAGCTGCTTGAGGACAAGTTTCTGAAGGACGATGACTTCCTCGCGGGGCCCTGCATCTCGGTGGCCGACTTGGTGGCCATCACAGAGCTGATGCACGTGAGTGCCCGGGGGGGCGTGGCCCATGGGGCGTGGGGTGCCCAGGAGGGAGCCAGTGTACCAGCTCACGCTGCCCTTCCTGGCTGCGGACCCAGGGCGTGTTACTTCCTCCTCTGCGTCTCAGTGTCCTCATCTGTAAAATGGGACTTTAAAACCCCGCCCTGCAGGGATATCCAGGCCTTTCTCAGTGTCTCCTGGGAGGGGACCCCCAGCCTGTCACACAGGGGGCAGGGGAGCAAAGTCCACCTGGTGGGTCCCTAAACCGGGTCAGCCGCCTTACAGCTCCCTCTCCCCTCAGCCTGTCAGCGCCGGCTGCCACGTCTTCAAAACCCGCCCCAAGCTGGCGGCCTGGCGCCAGCGCGTGGAGGCGGAGGTCGGGGAGGACCTCTTCCAGGAGGCCCACGAGGTGGTCATGAAGGCCAAGGACCTGCCGCCAGTGGACACTGCCATGAAGGACAAGCTGAAGCCCTTGGTGCAGGTTTTGTTGTAGTGAGGAGGGGTGGGCCTGCAGCCGATGGTGGAGACTGGTGTCAAAATAAAGAGATGGAGCTGCCCCTCTCCTTGGCCTTGAGCAAGACACCCGCATAGTCTCTGTTCTCAAGATCCCTCCAGCATCAGGCCCACGTTCCTCCTCTTGTCTGACTACTTACTCCACTCTTGCCCCTTCCACTCCAACTGGCAGGAGACCTCTGGAATGAGCTTTATTGATTATTTAAAAAAATATATTTTTACTGATTGCAGAGAGGAAGGGAGAG